CCAGTGCAGCATAAGCTCCCTCTAGGAACATTAATAGGACAGCACAGATCGGGTTTAGGACATCTGGGGCTTTCAGCAGGTCATTCATACTTATCCCTTTAAATTTCTGACTGCTATTCCACACAAGTCTCAAGGGAGTTTTCACAGAGTGTGGATTTTGAACAATTAGGTGGCTTATGTACCACACTGGGTCGTTCCATTTGTTGATTGCTTCCTCAGACAATTTAATTGCAGCTCCACGCTGAAGCATGTCATGCACTTGTTCAGTGTAAGCAGCTTTCCAGTCATGTTCTTTCTTCTCTGTTCTAAGAAATGTAGCTTCAACTTCAGCATTTCTGTTGTCTGGCAGAGATGCTGGATCTTCCAACCATGGCTATTGTAAGTGAGGCCTTCCTTCACTACCTCAATCTCCCTTTCTTCAGCAAGTGTCATCTCCTGTCTTCCCGGCTGACAGTTTCCACAACGACAACCTCCACACTTTGGGTTCACAAGCCTTGCAGATACTGTCCAATTTCCATCACTCCAAGAAATCTTGGGTTATAGTTGCAGGCTTTTATGTGTTAAGTTGGATTGAAACCTGATGATTTAATGGCTGGTTCTGTGGGAGCTCTTGAATGAATGAATTCTTCATATCTCATAGCAGCTGTCCTCATTGACATTGCAAAACTGTGTTTTGGTTATATGAGCTTTCATGGACAGTTCCTCAAACAGTTCTGGATAAGTTCCTCAAACCACTTTTCCTAAGGGCCCATCCCAAAATAAAAGTTTCCCCACAACTCCAATTCTTTGTGGTGTCAACTGACCTTCCCTGTGGCTTATAAGTAAGCTTATTTCTCTGGGTCTTTCAAGTTCACCCAGTGGTAAGTCTGGAAAAAATCTTTGCAACTACTTTGCCTTCACATGTTTATGAATGTCTACAATGCTGTCAAGTTCATAACAAACAAGCTGGTAAGGTTTAAGGGTGCCTTTGGAGGTTTTCACATGAATCTTCAGGAGGTAACATTTCGTCTCCAAACAAACTTTCATCCCTCCAACTCCATGACCAATGAGGGATTTAATCTGCGTGCAGCCTTGAGTGTTATGTAATATGTTTTCTATCGCCGCAAACAACACATCTTGCAAAGTGATCAACTGCTTTGACTGACTTGGTTCTGGTGTGTCTTTGCTACATTTGGGTCTCTCGTCTACTTGACTCCTCCTCTCTCAGTTGCTCCAGTTGCTCATAAATACTTTCTTGGCCTTTCAGAAATTCAAGGAGCTGATCAAACCGAGTCTCTGGTACCACTGTATTCCTTTTATCAGTTGCATAAAAAAGCCACTCCTTCTTCAAAGCTTCAGCAAGTTTAGTTTCAATTGACTTCTTCCCCAGAGGAGGAGCTTGTAACTCATAGCGATGAGCAGTGATGTTCTCATGTATGTAATCAAGGGTGGTGCATATTGAGGTGATTGAGGCAATGAGCTCCAGCAGCTTTATTAAAGCTCTGAGGAGGTTCGTTGCTATCAGGGGTCCTGCCAAATGGGTACGTTCTGACTGTGGAACCAATATCATTGGTGCCTCTCTCGAAGTGCAGATGGACAAAACAAATCCAGGAGGTCCTGACCATGCTGCAAGGAAAATGGACAAGTCTTAAGGAAGAGAACACTGTCCTCTCGAAACACCACAAAGTAAAAGTAATTAATGGCCTATGAGCATAATCACAAAAACCTTTCCATAGGAAGATGGATCAGTCCCCAGAGTGGAAGTTCAAATTGTTGAGAATGGAGACAAAAACAATTTTTTTGCATCCAATTACAGGAGTAATCTTACTCCTCTCTACAAAGACCAAGTCCGATAATCGATATGGCCTCTGTAAAGATAAAAGGCAGGAAGTGAACATGCTGCTTTCTTGGTCAGTACTATTGGTTGAGTCTGTAGTAACCTGGGAACAACGCATGCTGGGAAACAGGAAGAGTATCTGCCATTTTGTCACCGGCTGCAGCTATGTGAGCACATAGAACTGTTAGCTCCTCATTATTTGGATATTATTTTCCACCCCTGCTGAAGCATCATCTGTGAGTGATGTTTTCTTTATAAAGTTGAACTATTTTGTTTTTTCCCATTTATATGTATGTTCAACAGCTAAAGTTTGCACACTAGATGTTAACCTTTATTTGCTGTTGTTTGCTATTTGACTACCTTCACATTTGTCAGAGCAGCTATACACTTTGTTAAAGGAAAAGTCCAGTCAGCAAGGAATGATCAATGGATCATTATTTATACCTAAAACTAATATATTTGCGGTGATTTAATGAGTTTAGCGTTAATCAGTAAAAAGATTAAAATCATATTTTTTGTCACGATCTCTGAGTCCAGGAACTTCCATTTTTGCCCAAATATAGTAAAACCTCACTCCTGACATCTTGCGGCAGTGATGTCTTGCACCATTGTCTAGCACCATTCTCCCCGCTTTACAAGCAAAATTATTGGGAACTATTAGACAAATCTTCAATCAACAACAATTATTTAAGATTTCCAGAGGACATCACCATTGAAATTCTTGAGAGCTATAGTTAAACTAACAATGCCCATGTGCATTTCAGTTGGATGTTGTAATACATCGGGTAAAAGTGAAAAGAAAAGTTATGTCACCTTTCCGATTCATGATCCTCCATAACAAGGTTAGTCGTTGGATTGCCTACTTGAAGAGGGAAGATTTGCCATCGAACTTCTGGCCAGAGAAAAAGCAAATCTTTAATCCGTTATTCTCTGCTTCGCATATTGCACTGGTCGTCGTCACTGGATGTTTCCTTTAAGAAAATTTCTGTCATTTGCTCATATGTTAGAATGGTAATTTTGGTATTTCTTGTACTATGTTACAGTTTCACAAAATTCTCACTAAACTTCATGAAAAACTATTGACTTAGTCCTGGAGTATATTGAGACTGTATAATTGAATGAAATTTGTGGGACATAACAATTGTAAAAAAACGTATTAATATACATAATATATATTTAATATAGGTAAAGACAGACGGATTTTAGCTACATGATTTAGTTAATTAATTTCATATCCAAGATAATCCAACTATCTACAGAGATTGGAAAAATATCTAGAAATTAAGTTACCAAAACGCGTCCCTTTTTTGCCCATATTAAGAATAGAATAAAAATCAATTTTTAAGTCTTAAATAATACAGAGAGCTAGTTATGCAGATTTTTAGTTTTTTTTTTTTTTTGTTAGGTTTTAATAACAATTACAGCCGTGAAGCACAACTGATCTCTAAAACCTAGATAATAGTGGCAGAAATAAGCATAGAAATTTTTAGATTTAATCAACATACAACTGCTTTTTGCTTATGGGAATTCTTCCGAACAGTGATAATGTTGTGAAATAATTTACAGTTCTAAGATTATCACAGTATCATAGATAGCACAATACTGCCTGTTATCTAAGATACATTTATGACCAGTCCAAAAAAAAAATGTTACTTTATTGATCTCACGCTGGAGAAATGTATCTCTGCTGCCATTGTGCGGTGCCCGGGGAGCAGTGTTGGGTTTAAGGGGTCATAGAATGCAAAACCGACTTTACCTTGTCATAGATGAATAACAATAGTTTAGTTGGTGAAATGGACGTACAGAGAAGTTCATAGCCTATCGACACCTCCTTTCTCTGCATATCTCACAATTCTAAACTTCCACCATAAAACTGGCAAATCCAAACGAAGTCCCGAGTTGACTTAAACTCTTGCATTGTGCATTATTTGATTGTGACAGGTACTTTTGTCACGCCTTGAAATTTACACACAGACCAGCCCACTGTTTCCCTGGCCCACGGAGGGGGGGGTTATGAACTGCTGGGCTGCTAAAATTTTTTTAGGTATGAATAGTAGGACATGTCCAGGAAAAGGAGGACGTCTGGTCACCCTGCCATATAGCTATTTCGATGTTCCAGTGAGTCAGTGCTTGTTGCTATGATGTGTCTTTCGGTTACCATGGCGGCGCTCCAAGGCGGCGGCCAAGAGCAGCTCCCCTCAATAATTTCACAAAATATGCTGCTTAAAACGATACAAACTAGACATCAACCCCGCATCTATAATCACCAACGCCTGCTGGAGCTACTGTCACAAAATGTTTTATATACTGACATGTTGACCGTACGTGCTTTTGTAAGTCTGAATGTATTTTGGAAAACACAATTTTCAGCTTTTTAGACAGAAAGAACTTTGTTTTGAATAATTGAAAGATTGTTTCCCAAATTTGTGATAAAAAGGGTTAAGGAGTTTTTGGATGTAAATAAGGCTGAATAGAGCTTTATCTCTCATTAGGTCTTAGGCTACATTCACACAGCAGCCTAAATTGACCCTAATCAGATTTTTATATCCCATATGAGTAATGGATCTATGAACAGGAAAGATCCAATTTTTTCGGATCCCTTCAAATGCAACCTCTCTCTTAATGGCCAGGTTGCATTCATCCAACCATCATTAATACTCAACAAAGGTCACTATTATGCATCTTCTATGCAGAAATGGGAAGAAAAACAACAATCATGGTGGACGATAATGCGGAGATCAGTCTTTTTCAACCCTCTTATGGGTTGTGGATTGTGTTGTTAATGCGCTAACTGGGGTTGGGAAAGGTTGCTGCATGCACTCCAGCACTGCAATCAATCTTTACATCCGTAAACATAGAGCATGCTCACTTTTGATGACATTGTGTCCTCTACTGCACACGTGGGAGACATAAGTTGTATGAATGCAGTTCACTCAGGAGATAACATACACATGACATATATTTGGAAATGTAAGCAACCAAGCAAAAGAACTGGATTTCATGAAAGAAAAACGGTATTGAGCATCAATGCCTGTAGTGTGAATGTAGCCTTACAGTGCCTGATTAACTCTTGTTTTTCGGGGGGCAAAACCATGTTATTACTATACCTGTAATAACAGCCAGTATGCACAGCCTCAGACATCATTTTATGAGTGTGATTTAATTTATGAACCATCTCCCACAGGTCTGAACAAAGGAGGGGTGCTAGCTGGAGTCATTGGTGCCCGGAAACCCCACTATGACATATGGGGAAACACTGTCAATGTGGCGAGTCGTATGGAGTCCACAGGGGTGATGGGAAACATCCAGGTACAGCTCTCAGTTTCAGTAAAAAGTCGCCTTACTTTACTTTTTTTTCTATTTTGTTAGAGACTAATTGGTTAAAGATTTTAAAATTCTGACTAACAGTATGTTTTACCTCCACCAGCTGGACCGTAGCAAGTGGTGTACAACTGATGTAAACAGTGTTGCCTTAGGGAGAGTTAAATTGGCTTGCACTGGCCATAGTGTAGCCAGGCTCTGCGTTACTTCACCCAATTAGGGCTGGAGTATCTATTCTGCAAAGAGTAAAATATTTTTACAAAATAAAATCGAGTTAGTGTTTGAGATAGTGTACTAAAACATAATGTCTTGAAAGGTTAATCATGTGAAAATAAATGCCTTAAAATCCTTTCTGTTTTATCACTCGTCTCTGCCTGAGCTGCACCGGAATTGGAATCCTATGCTACTTTGGGGAGCTAACTTTTTCATCTTTGGAAATAAACATAAATCTAGTCTTTTTTAATTTTATGTTTTCCTTTTGTGTTGAAATTATGCATATAGTGCAGAACCTAAAGAAAGAAAAAACTAAAATGCAGATAATGTAAATAACTTGTTATATGACCAGCCCTTCTACATGAGACTGGATAAAGGCTGAAACAAACTGGTATCAGAACAAGAGCATGCTCCAAACACTTTTCATTACCTGCCCCTGCAACATCAGACCTTTTTGCAGGAATATATTGATAAGTCATATCTAAATATTTTATTTAGGCATGCCAGATATCATACAGGTCCTAGTTCCTGAGCTGAGAACAGGTCAAAACCATACTTTTCCAACAAGGCAAGGCAGAGCCTATTTATATTGTCCATTCATCAACAGACAAAGTTCACTATGTGAAAGAAAGAACAACGTAGAGAATATTTGTATTTTGTCTTGTCTCGCCTTTCCGTGTCATTTAACATTTCAGCTTAGAAAATGCAAACAGTATGACTTCATTTTTGGAGTAACATTTATTTCACCCAAGGAAAAGCACTACATATCAAGCTACAGTTGTCCCATTTAGCAGTTTCCACAAACCCACAGTGAGTCCTTCCTGGATTTGTGACAGGTATATGCTCAGTGCTGTGGTTCCTGTTGCAGAGATTGCATACCTGGCCTGCTTATAATAACAATGAAAAGATCTAAAAAAATACAGTTTGGCTCATATTCCCAAAGTAAGAGTCAAAGTATGAGCCAGATGGAGTTATCTATGCATCCTACAAGTTTGGTAGCACTATGATGATATATAGTGTAATTATTGGCTATTATATGTTGTTTTTTTAATAATAACAATGAAAAAAATCTATAAAAAAAGAGTTTAGCACATATTCCCAAAGTAAGAGTTGTAGTATGAACTAGATGATGTGTGCTACATCTTTGGTGGGACTACAGTGATCTAAAGTGTAATTATTGGCTATTATATGCTTATAATAACAAAGAAAAAATCTCCAAAAATACAGTTTAGCCTATCTTCTAGAATTAAGAGTTTTAGTATGATCCAGATGAGGTTATCTATGTATCCTACAAGTTTGGTGGCACTACAGTGATGTATAGTGTGGTCATTGCTCATTGTATACTTATTCTAACGATACAAAAGAGGTGCCATTGAGGCTTTGGGAAATTCCTCAAAAAAGTATTGTTTTCGAATTCAATAAATGTGGTATAAAAGACATGAAATGAGATACGCATGTAATGTTTTTGATAATAATCCACCTCTCCTTGGTGACGCATTTAAATATTTTTCTCTGATTGTTTGTATGGTGTTGCATCTTGAAGATCGTTCCTTAGCATTTGCAGAGGAGCGAGCTCTGCACAGGGTCCAATTTAATTCCCCCAGCTCGATAGGAGACTCGTTTTGAGGAAGCTACAACCAGTGTTGGGAAAGTTCTCTTTCTACGTGAAGTAGTTCAAAGTTCAGTTCACACATTTTAAAATGAACTAGTTTAGTTCATAGTTCATAATTCAAAACCAAAAAATGAACTAGTTCATAGTTCTTTTTTTTTTTTATATATATATATATTGCTCAGTTACACCATAGCCTACTGTAGAACCACAGACAGCAATTATTTTATCAGTTATAACTCTGAAACTGTGCGTCAGATTTCATCTTCCTATCCAGTTTTGAATCCTTATCCAACCAGGGTTTACATTAGCATTGAGGGGACAGATTTTCCCATTGTTGCTTTAATGCTTTGTTGCTGTCCATTCACTTCACACTAGTAGCAGCTGCAGCTTTCACCCCTACAGTATATTCTCAAAAACATCAGGAAAAATGTGCTGCTTGAATGGTCTTTTTTATGAGTAATTATTAAAAGAAAAATAGGAAAGTAGTCTTTAAGGTGCAAATGTTTTTTTTTTTTTTTTATAATTTTTTCCATTTGAAATTCCATTTCAATACATACTAAAAAGGAATACTGGAATCCTGGAAAATTATACCAGGCAGGTTTAACAAACAAGTTACATGGATAGTAAAACCCTCAAGAACAGGGGTCTTCTATGTTTTCCAGACCAAGGACACCCAAACTGATGGCGAGATGGAGCGAGGACCCCCTAACTATATATATTGTATGAAATTGTGTCCTATAGTAACTCTATTACAGATGGAGTAATGTAAAGAAATTAATTTCTCCCTGGGATTATTAAAGTTTTTCTGATTCTGATTCCTGGTTGTTGTGAAGGAAACGGTGCCCAGCTTGAAAGAGCTCCTGTGTCTCGCTGAATGTGTGCATTGATGACTGAAAGACATCTTTTGTCTCCATTTATCTGTTTACTACAGTGTGTTGATTTCATGTTAATGAGTATTTAAAGACATTTCAATTAGTGGGGGAAAAAATTGCAGGGGGGGAATATAAAAATATCAACTAACACTGCATGAAAAGTGAGATTTTCGTTCCCGTAAACCCCCGTAAACTCCCGCAGATCTGCCTGATTTTCGTCAGTTTCCGACAATTTGCAACCCGTGCTTGTCCGCGTTTGTCGTGCCACAAATTGTCGGAAACGGACCATGACGTACGTGGAGAGCGATCAGCTGTACTAATGGCCCTAATTAGCATATGAATGCAGCAAACCCGCGCGGCTGGCCAGGTCTGGCTTGAATAACCTACTCAGTATTGGCTGAAACCACTATTCTCAAACAAATGAAATCGCTCGTGATTGGCAGCAAAACCACATGTGGCCACGCCAGGCTTTAATTTTCTTACTGAGTATTGGACGGAACCACTTCTTTTTAAACAGGTAAAGTCGCTCGTGATTGGTTGGCATATATATATATTTACATATAAATTTACATATATATATTTATTCATATATATATATATATATATATATTCATTCATATATTTATTCATTCATATGCTGTGTATTTATGTTATCCTACACTACTACACAATTATTATGATACCATCAAGGACATGAATGAATTTATACAGGAAATGAACATTTGCCAGGAAGCTGTTTATGCAAAGAAAGAGCTTTATTGAAACACACACACACACACAGAACTATATACAACGCGTATCCAAACACATGCGTTTCTAAAAATTAAAAGTCCGTGAACGGTCCGTTTGCTTCCTCGGGGTTGGAGGTAACTGGCAGCATTCCCTCCGAGGCAGGTCCGATGTGCAGACGCCTACTGTGCGTGGCCCTGTACTTCGGCATCGCTTCTAACCGGGACTGCAGCTTAACACATAGTTCAGTGAGATCCGGCCTACGAAATGGCGGCGACCGTACAATCCATCCAGAGACACCGCCGAGGAAGGCGGACTTCCAGAGTTCCACTTCCTCATCTGCTAGCACACTCTGCCTCGCTTTCAGCAGCTGAAAAAAAAAACAATGAATCAGCGCACTGCGTATGGACACAACACATCTATAATGCACCTGAAAAATAGTCACCAAATAAAGTCTTACCCTCTTTCTTCTGGCCCGACTCCGAGCAGATTGCCTCCGCACGCAGCGTGTTGGCTGGCTGCGTATATCTGAAGCTCCTGCGTACCGTCTGAAAATACGTCTTACAGGCAGCTGGAAAACAATTAAATGAGAGTGGTATGAATAAAAAATCAAACGCAAGTCACAGTAACAAGGAAGGAGAAAACATTAAAACAAGTCACTTACACACAATGTCGTCTTTATCAACATCGTGCAAATCTGGACTTGCTGTATGGCTCCGAGCAAATAGGAGGTCTGTGAAAACAAAATGTACAGCTATGATCGGTATCCATTTCCTTTTATCGCAGAATGAAAGCATATTCTTTAAATCTTACCCTTGCTCCGGTTCATAGCGCCTGCAATTAGTCTCCGAGTTGTGAAGACGGCGTACTGCTTTCTGTGAATCACAAAAAATACACTTTAATAAAGCTTGTTCTTGCAAGGCTACTATTAGCCGCTATTAGCCGTAGCTTAGGCTAGGCTGCTTTTAGCTTAGCAGGCAGTAATCGAACATATATTTACCGCTAGCATCTCTTCTTTGAGTTCGTCTTCTTCGATGCAGAGTCGCTATCGCGTCCAAGAGGAGTTTTACCCCGAAATCCCCCATTCTCCGCTCCAGACCGCCTGCACAAAGCAAAGCATACATCCTCCACTATGGATCCAGCCGCGCCGCTCTTGGAGTTTCTTGGAGATCGTACAGAGCATGCGCGAGATGAACCAGAGTTTCCGCGGATCAATAAAAATAATTAAAAAATCATTCTTTTTTTTTTTTTTTAAATCAAGGCCTTAATTGGCACTAAAATTATTTAAATATGTTTATCGAAGTATTTATAATTTTTTTATAAAAAATGCTTATAAAAACAATTTCGTCAGATATATTATATCGCTCCAGGCGGAGAAAAAGCTAGAGGATATATATATATACGTATATATGTGTTTGTGTGTGTTTACATACATACAGGAGTCATGGAACTCTGCTTACAGCTCCTTCATATTTCATGTACACTAATAACTTGTGTACATGGTTCTTGTTGATGGCATTAAAATCATTTCAAATAGCATTAAAATAGCATTAAATTAGAGT